GTTTTTATTGGTTTCATCATTTTACCAAAGTGCGCGTACAAGATATTTTAGTAGTCCCTGGTGCACGGTTGCACGGTTTGAGTCTGCAGTTTTCTTTTTCTCTACTCTATTCCAATGTAGAAAGAAGAAACCAAATACAAAATGGGCAGAATATTGGGTACATATAAACTGGAAAAGTATTGCCTCAAATCTCTAAACTTGGAGGAGTCGGCAATCAGTGTACGTAGATAAAACCCTCCATGCTCATAACTGTACGCGTATAGGGATAAATGGAACTTCATTGCTTTTTAATACTGATGTTAACAGTAAAACGTTCGTTTCAGTAGTGAACGTACCAGCATTGTAACGTGTTTTTTTTACATTTAAACACACGTTACAAGACAAAACGTTTTTTATTTTTTTTAAAGCTTGAAGATAAAAAAATCGTTTTGTCTTTAAAAAGAATAAATCAGGACCAGGAATTCTGAAGGTTGGTTTTACAAAATCAAGTAACTCAGACTGTGTCAATACATGTAGTGTGACAGATTAGGTCACTAACTCACTTTAGTATCATATCATCTTAGACAGAGTGTTGCTTAAATAGAGGGGTTCCGACAACCAGCCATGCTGGAGGTTGGCGTTTGGTCGGGGAGAGATCACCTTTTGAATCCTCCCCGGCAGCCCCAAGCACCTCTCACCCTTCTTCCTCTTCCTACAAAGGGCCACTTTGAGATACTGGTAGCAATTGTTGGCCAGACTCAACGTTCATGGCCCCAACGACACGCAACACGACGCAAGACGCAAGGACCGAGGAGGGAGGGACACTTCGCGCTGAACTTGTCGCTCTTCGCGCCAGCAAACAAGTGTTACAGTCGACTAGAGTGTGGCCGGGCTGAGTGGCTTACCTAAGTTCAGGGAAAGGCGCGACCAGGACGTGCGTCAATGGCTCTTCCAAGTGGAGACATTGTGCCGCATCAGCGGCCACAACTCGGCGGACGACAACGACACGCTACCTTCAATCACCGGTACAGCGATGGAGGAATCTGCGTCGCGGTGGTTCCTTTTTTGGGTTTCCAGAACGCCAGTGAAGGAGCAGACGTGGGGGCGATTCACCCACGATGCACTCGTGCACTTCGAAGCCTCCAACTATCAGCCGTGTTGCGCCACAAACTTCGCCAGCTCCGCCAGGACAGTGACATCGAAGAGTACAATGGGAAGTACTCGTCCCTGATTTTCCGTGTTGAGGACATGAGCGAAGTTGACCAAGTAAGTTACTACTGTGACAGCCTCAATCGAGCGACCCAGGCCTACGTCAAGCTCCATAACCCAACGACACTGAGCGAAGCGATGGATCAAGCTGTCAAGCACGAGATGTCGCACTTCAGCGGGGGACGTAAGACAGCTATGGACAAGTCGCAGCGTGGGGACCGCTCCCACATCCCAAAACATTCGAGTTCATTCAAAGACAAAAAAATTGTTGAATCGCCGCTCTTTCAAGCCCGGCCACTACGCGCCCGCTGAGCAGATGAAGGAGGGACCTACTGCAAGAAGCCCGGTCATTTCAAGCGTGACTGTGAAAAGCTGAAGATGGACTTGGAAAACGAACAGCCACGCCAGTAAAGAGGGACCTGACGTGGCAAGTGCTAGCGAAGAGGACGTAAGCGTAATCAAGGATACGTTGAGTCTACTTTGTGAAATTCCTCTCGTCTATAATTATGCACAGCTGGCTTCGATTGAAGGAGCAATGGTACAGCGTGAGTGCAAACCCGATGCCGAAGTTCGGTTGATGCGCACTATCGGTACGCCATTCGACTTAGATGTACAATCCGATATCGACCTGATAAGTCGATCCTTCAAGATGGACGTTTCAGCCGGAACCTCAGCGATCACTACTACTACGACCCCCTGTGGGAAGTATTTGCTCTGGATATCGTGACGCTATGGACAGCGAAATCTCTTCCGCGCGAAGCCGTGATTCCTGTCGAGCCGCCGTGCCAGAAACACGGTGGAGGGGGGGGGGCGTAGTTGAAGACGCTGAAAGACCAGCTGAGGACGTGGAAATATTTGGTGGAGAAAAGAAAGCCAAGTATGTGGAAAGTATTCGTTTGAAATAATTGACGTGGAAGGAGTCAAGACGAAGTACAGCACGAACAAAGGGCTAAAGAAGCTTGAATGGATACCTGCAACCGAACGTCTCGAACGTGACTTTGCAAACATTGTAGCCACGCTTGGACAGTTTGCAACATCGGACGCAACGACAACGTGAAATGCGCGAATGGTATGAAGCGTCGATGGAAGTGGCCTCTCTCATCCGAGCAGAAGATAGATATTAGCGACTGGGCGAGCGCTATGGTTTCACATGGATTGGTCCAAGGCCAAGTTTCCATGAAACAATAACCTTTGGGATACGCAGCGTCCGCTGGATTGCGTAACAATTAATGCTTACATCAGGGATAACAGCAACACAAACCGGCAGCGTGTATACAAGTGCAGATTACAACATAGCGCATCACGTACACTAAACTACCGCGCGATCAACAAGAAGGCATACGGCGTCACACGCAACGGAGGGGTGAGAAGCAAGCATCGCTTCGTCTGCGGCGAAAGTTTTAGGACAAGACGATCAAGAAAACAGCAAGGACGACATTGAAGTTCGGACATAACAACATAACGACAAGGCAAGGCAGTTTTGAAGCCATTTTGGGCGTTTTACACAAGGTGGTTAAGACTTTCGTTGTAATGGGCTTGCTACGTGCCCACTACTTCGGCTTACACGTTAGCGCACGTGTATGAGGAAGCGTAGTTTGCTTAAACTTAGATTAACTATGCTTACG